AAAGAGGTGTGATTACTTGGTTTCAGACAGAGGTAAATTAAGCGAGAAAATGGCCGCCTAAGTTTGGCGAGTTCGATGACTTAAGAGTTCTTGGAAACTGAAAATGCACATTTCTGTGCCTTTAACCAACGTTTTCCAATAACATCCACTCAGAAAAGTGTTTTCAAAAAGACATAGAAGGTGTTGAGTCAAATCAACAAAAAATCAATAAAAATGTCAACACTGGCGGGAAATGCCGGTATCTTCGAATTTATTAATTTGTAGAGCGCCAGATTTCGCCACGATGCTTCACATATTTTAACGTCTTAGGAAAACATTTAAGGAAAATTGTACTTCTTCCTTGTTCTTACCAGGGTCGGTGGTGTAGCAGTTGAGAGCTTTGCCGTCGTACAAAGAAGACCTGAGTTCGACTTCCATGTGGGGAGGGGTTTTATCGAGTATCTCGGTCTTGTTTCTTCTTCTGGGATGTTGTATAAATCTTAGCAGATAACTCGAGTTCGATTCCATAGTGGGGAGAGCTTGCATCGAGGGTTGGCCGACACAACAGGGTCAAGGCCCGCCTCCTTAATGATATAAATTTTGTTGATAAGGACGTAAAGCATTTATATTATAGACTTTAGTTGAAAGCCCGCCTCTTAAATAATCCAAGTATTGTCGATTAACGGTGCAAAAATACCAACATCATTTAATAAAAAGAAAAATGTTTACTGTTCATGTTGGTAGTTTCAAAAGTATTACACTTTGTACATGTACTTTAAACAACCCTCAACATTCCTGTCTCCTGTTTTTTATCATGACAGAAAATCCAACCAAAGCCTAAAATAATATGGGAGGCAGCATGGTGGAATCAGGCTCTCGTCAATTTTGGGGCATGTAGAGTTATTGGTATCATCTCAAAGCATGTTCACTTGTCTTTATTTGTATTTTAAAAATATCCATTTATCTTGAATACAAATCGGGATATTTGCGAAAGAAGGAGGCGGGGGTCACCTGTTTTCAGAAGTAAAATTAGTGAGAAAATGGCCGCCAAAGATTAGTTATTTCCTTAGCTTAAGAGTTCGTGGTAACTGAAAATTTTCATTTTTGTGCCTTTAATCAACGCTTTTCAGAAAAATCCACAAAGAAATGAGTTCTTTAATAGGCATGAAAGGTGTTGAGCCAAAAAACAAAAAATTGATAATAATTCTCAAGCATCCGGAAAAATTCAAGTTTCTTCACTTTGATTATTTTGACGAGAGTCTGATTCCACCACGCTGTCTCACATATGCTTTACGCCCGTATCGACACAATTAATATCATTGAAAAGGCGGGCTTTGACCCTGCTGCTGCCAGGGCTAACTGCTGATGCAAACTCTCCCCACTCGGGAATCAGACTCGAGTCATCTGCTCGGGACGGTGAAACGCCCAACCGCGACACCACAGACGCCAGTAACTCGAAGGCAGAAACGTATGAAGAAATGAAATGAAATAGTGTCACTTTACCCTTCTCTTTGAACTGCGCGGAATTTTTCTCCGTCTGCGGCGCCACAATACGCACGTTCTTCTCTCTAAGCCACCTGGCAAATAAACAAAAAGGCTGAGGTTATAATTTTTCAGAACAGGTGGAACTCTTTGTTTGGTTGGTTGGTTGGTTGGTTGACTGATTGGTTGGCTGGTTGGTTGATTGATTGGTTCGTTGGTTATTTGGTTGGTTGGTTGGTTGATTGATTGGTTCGTTGGTTATTTGGTTGGTTGGTTGGTTGATTGATTGGTTCGTTGGTTATTTGGTTGGTTGATTGGTTGGTTAGTTGGTTGGTTGGTTGGCTGGTTGGTTGATTCGTTGATTGATTGGTAGAATAAAGAAAAAAGCGCATCGACACAAATATGGTCATTCAGCGGAGAGAAAAGTAAGACATACAGACTGAAAAAAAAACAGATGAGAAAGTAAAGAAATAGGTGTAATTGTAATTGAAAAAAGTTGTACTTCCTCACTGACACTACTTAGATCATGACGTAAGGCCAAACCTGGCTGAGAGGGATACAACGTCCTAACCGAAAGACAGAGGTGCTCGATTGAAATTCTCCCCACACAGAAATCGATCTCACGCGTCCTGAGTGCGCAGGTCGAAACTCTTGCACTATTACAAGACATCGTTTATCTCCCCTATCAACACTGTAGGGTCATTTAAGAGGCAGGATCTCCGAGCTTAACGTCCATCTCCAAAAGGACCGAGCCAAGTGAGAAATTCGTGTAAAGCGCCTTTCCCGATGACACAATGTCGGACCAATCTGAGGCTCGAACCTCCGAACCCGCAATCTCACGATTACCGGTCCGGTAACCTATCCACTAGGCCGCTGGCGCCACTATGCACTATTAGAAAGGAGTAACTGTGAAGCATCGAGGACCGTCATCCTTGATACAATGATAATGGCTATTTTTGGAGGCTTCTCGTTCGAAATTAACGTTTATTTTCTGGGGTAGTGAGCGAAGAGGCTGAAGAACCTTGAAAACTCTCCAAGCCGGCAAGTGTCAAAACTAACGATTTTTTCTTGCATTTTGTTGACACATACAGCAGATATCATAACGCTTTAAAAGAAGGAAAAGGTTGCTGGTGGTCATATAACCCACGACACAGTATCTGGGCTGAACTTTTACGGAAATCCAATATTATTTCTATCGAACAGGAACACTATTAATTGACTATGTTTTTGTAATAGTTTTTGTGAGAGTTTTACAGCACGTAAACATAATTAGGTTATCCGAGTGCTGAAGATTAGAACTCTGTTTCAAGAAAGTAACTTACAAGGAAAAGGAGAAGGAGAGATGATGACGATATAAGATAAGAAAGAAGCAGCAAACGACAGGAAAGCACACGCCAGATACCCAAATCGGCGTGCACTTGGGGCAAAGATGACATCTGTAACAACGAATTAGAAGCCCACGGTTACGTTTGTACAAAAGATATAGCGGGAGCTCTCGTGGTCTAGAGGTTACGGTATTCGCCTTTCGTTAGTTTAATAGGCCCCGAGTTCCAAACCTGACAGCTACAGAATATTTTCTTCTCTAAAATTTTCTCTGTTCATCTCCTTTCCGGATCTCTAACCACAATCTGTGATCGGCTTTCGTCTTCGATTTTTGCTCCTACCCCCAGCCCCCTGCACTCCTTCCTCTATGCTCCTGACTCTTTCTGCAGCAGTAAAATACTTACCTAAACAAAACAAACAAAGATGTAGATAGTTATGAGTATGTGAGCTTACGCGGACTCGTTGTACGAGTATTGTGTGAGTCCCCGAAGAGACGGGTAGTTGTATTTCTCGTTGTTCTCTCGGATCTTTTCTATCTGCTTCAGGAGTACCTGTGAACACACCGGATAAACTCACGCATGGACAGACACATACATGCACGCGCACACAAACATAAACACACATTAATATATTTGCACACACCCCGACATACACACACATATATAGATACAAGCATGTGAAAATACACACAGAGACACACGCATACAAACACACACACACACACACACACACACAAACACACACACACACACACACACACACACACACACACACACACACACACACAAACGCGTTAGCGCTTCACTGTCGCAAGCAGAAGACCAGAATTTGATTCCGGGTTAAGGAATTTTTTATCGAGTACACTCAACACACTCACATAACAAGCTTACTATGGCGCTCAAATAATATGATACAACTATAACAGTTATAATATAACATAACACCATGAACTAGATACTTTTATAGCTTGTAAGATTGGTAAAGCCATCGGATGTGTACCGGTATATAATGCAAGTTGTCTTGTCTAGAGCACAATAGTATGAAAACGGGTTTGATCGTTGCGTTACCTTATTTAATGTGTCGAATGTATGTCGCCATAGGTAAACAGAGAGACAGACAGAGAGACAGACAGACAGACAGACAGACAGACAGACAGACAGACAGACAGACAGACAGACAGACAGACAGACAGACAGACAGACAGGGGGTGGGGATATAGAACAAAGGAAAAACAGAAAAACACATTGATAGAAACAGGTCGAAAACGTAGATGCAGACATGAAGATTTTTCATTCGTGGATTGTTATTAGACATGATCCCAAAAAATATTTAAAAATGAGGCATACCTTAGCAGCTCCAAATAATTTCCGGGTGGTGTACTCAGTCAGATCTGAAACGGTTCTGCCAAATATTTGGAACCGTTTCCTTCGGTCTTGAGCATCCTTTCCCTCATCTTCTTTCTGTTTACTTTCTTCTTTCTTCCTCATTTCTTCTTCTTTTTTCCTCCTATCTTCCTCTTCTTTCTTCTTCCTTTCTTTTTCTTCTTTCTTTCTCATTTTTTCCTCTTCTTTCTTCCTCCTATCTTCCTCTTCTTTCTTCCTCCTTTCTTCCTCTTCTTTCATCTTCTCTTCTTCTTCTCTCTTCCTCTTGTTTTCCTCCTCTTTCTTCCTCCTATCTTCCTCTTCTTTCTTCCTCCTGTCTTCCTCTTCTTTCATCTTCTCTTCTTCTTCTCTCTTCCTCTTGTTTTCCTCCTCTTTTTTCCTCCTATCTTCCTCTTCTTTCTTTCTTCTTTCTTCCTCTTCTTTCCTCTTCTCTTCTTCTTCTCTCTTCCTTTTGTTTTCCTCCTCTTTCTTTTTTCTTTCTTCCTCTTCTTGTTTTCTCATTTTTTCCTCCTCTTCTTTCCTTCTTTCTTCTTCTTTCATTTTTCTGTTTGCTTCCTCTCTCTTCCTCATCTCTTCCATTTCTCTCTTTGCCTTGTCTTCTGCTTCCCTTTTCTTCTTTTCTTCTTCTTCCACTTTTTGTCTTTCTTCCTCTTCTTTCTTTGCTTTTTCTTCTGCCTCTTTTTTCTTCCTTGCTTCTTCTTCCATTTTCCTTTCTTTCTCTTTGTTCCTTTCCCTTTCCTCTGCGTCTTTCTTTGCTTTTTCTTCTTCTTCTTTTCTCTTCCTTTCCTCCTTTTCTTTCTTTTCCCTTTCTTCTGCCTCTCTCTTTGCCTTTTCCTCAGCTTCTTTTCTCTTCATTTCTGCCAGTTCTTCTTCTTCCCTCCTCTTTTCCTCCTCTTCTGTTTTCTTCCGTTTTTCCTCCTCTGCATCTTTCCCTCCGAATCTCTTTCCCGCTGCTTCTTTTTCTTCCTCCAGTATTGACTCTCTCCTCTCTCGCTCCTCCGCACGTCTCCGAGCGTCCCTCTCCGCCTCTTTGGCCGCCGAAATTAACGCGTCCCTCTGTGCTTTCTCGGCTTCCCTCCTCAGCCTTTCTTCTTCTTCAGAGGCGCTATTTCTTCTTTTCTGCTCCTCTTCCCGACGACGGATTTCTTCCAGCTCTGCTTCTCGTCTTCTCTCTTCCTCCAGGATCGCCCGTCGTCTGGCCTCTTCCTCCTCTGCTCGTCTACTCTCCGCCAACTTTCGCAGGTAATCTTCTTGCTCCTGACGTCTTTTCCTCTCCTCCATCTCTCTTTTCATCCACTCCTCTCTGAGCAGTCTGGTTCTTTGATCCGCTTCCCTCCTGCGCTTCTCCGCCGCTTCTTCTCTCAACGTTTCTTGCTCGTCTAATTTTGCTTTCTCCTCCCTCTCCAACCGCATCCGCTCCTGGAGCTGTAGCATAATTCTTTGCTCAGCGAGAAGTTTCGCCGACTCTGCAGCCTCTCTCCTCCTCTTTTCCTCCAGGTCCCTCTTCGCCCTCTCTAAAGCTTCTGCCTGCCACTCCTCCGCCGCGAGTCTGCCTCTCTCGGCTGCCTCCCTGATGGAAGAATCTGCTGCCCTGATCCTGACCTCCTCCTCCTCTCTCATCCTCAACATTTCCTTTGCCTCCCAATCCCTCTCCGCGTCCATTAGACGCCTTCCCTTCTCCCAAGCCTCTACTAGTCTCCTTTCTGATGCTTCCCTCTTTAATCTTTCTGCGAGCGTATCTTTCTCTTCATCCTCTTTCCTCTTTTGCAGTTCCTCATTCTGCCACTGACGTCTGTCCACTGCTTTCTCCTCGTCCAGCTCCCATTGTTTCATCTTAGCTTCATACCGTCGCTGCTGTTCTCTTTCGTATTCAGATTTCTTTCTCAAGCGTTCCTCTTCGAATGCTTTTGTTCTCTCGAGAGCTTTATTATGACTCTGTTTTGCGGTCTCCGCTCTTTGGCGTTCTGAAGCTTCTCTTTCAGCGACTTTATCTCGCTCCTTTCTCCTCTCGTCGTTATTCTGCTTCGCCCGCTCTCTTGCCAAAGCGCTTGCGTTTTCCCAAGCTTCGCGTCTGGCTTCTAGTATCTCCCTTTGTCTGGCATCGTGCTCTTCTCTACCTCTGCGTTGGCTTTCCTTCAGCTTCTCGGCCCGAATCGCTGCATCTAGGCTTGCTCTCTGCCAGATCTCCATATGCTCGTCAGTACTCAATCCGTCACTTTCAGCCCTCGTAATCGCCCCCTCTTTCCCTCGTTTAGCCGCTCTCCGCTCGGCATCTCGTCTGCTTCTCTCCCAGGCCTCCATTTTGAAGGCTTCTCTGGCTTTTTGTCGAGCTCGGTACTCCGACGGCCAGGATGAGCTACCGGTATCCCGGCTCTCGGTTCCTTTGTCTGTTGTTCCTCCTCTATACCCATCCGTGTTATCATTCCCAGAATGATCTCTCCATCCTCTACCGGAATCTCCGATTTTCTTTCCTTGTCCCTCCGACTCTTCTCTTGGTCCATCTATTTCTCTCTCTGCGTCGTCATCTGGTGTCCCTCTATCCCAGCCATCGCTTTTTTTCGGAGTACTCGTACCCTTTCTCGACTCGTCTGATCCTCCTTTCTCATAATCCCCTTCACCTTTTTCTAAATAACCACTCCTCCTCTCTTTTTCTCTTTCGTCCCTCAAATCACCATCTATTTCCTTCTTGGAGTCATCTTGCTGATGGCCGCTTCTCGAGTCACGTCCAGACTCTGAACCCCACCCCTGACGCGGAGTATGCACGCCTCCTACTCCTCCTTTGCCTGGACAATGTTTGTGTTGCCCCTTACAACCACACCGCCCGCATCGGCACTGTGACCCAAAGGTATGACTCGGGACACCAGTTTTTGTGTGAACAACGTTGCCTGCTGAACTTTTCTCTGTCCAGTTGTTGTTCTCTTGTCCTGGAAATGTATTATCAGAACAGCGTGTCTTTGAACGTTGTTTCCATATCTCTGTGGTGGATATTGTTTTATTTTCAGACGAATCCTTCGCCGGTGTTTTTCTCCTCTTTGTGTGACTCGCCATCGCACGTGTTCGTTTTGTGCTTTTCTTTTCCGAGTTGAGCGGCACGGTATTATTACGCGCTGTTGGCGTGGTAGATTTTCCGGAAGTAACTTTTAACGTGTTACTCTTTTTCCAAGCTGGGGTAAAAAGGAGGCCTTCCCTAAAACGTTTCACTGTAAAATCGTTGCTCGGCACTGTGCTCTCGCGTTGAGCCTGGAATCCCTCTGCTCTGTGTAGACTTGTTATCACAAATGCATGAGCAGTATCATGCACGTCCTGTCGCACTGACTGAAATGGCAATGGAAGACCTTCCGCTGCACAGAAAGTCATAAAAGTCGTGGTGTGACCTCTTGCTTGTGTCTGCGACTGTATTTCAGCCGATAGCTGCCCCGTCTGCTCTTTGCGATTCATTTGCCTGGAATGATTCGAGTTTGAAAAGTCACGACTCGTCCCTGTGGAGAGAGGGCGTTTATTGCGACCCACATTGCCATTCCTGCAAACTACGGCGACTTCTGAAGAACTTGTGTTCCCACATCGCCTCTTTTTTGTACAATTTAAAGAGTCTCCCCTTTTTGGCAACCGTTTACTAGAAACCCAATCATCCAGTACATGTATGATGTGTTTCTTTGGGCGTTTGGACACTTCGTTTTGCCTAGAAACCCATGTGCTCTCTTTGTGATTCGAGTATTTTGTATTTAGAATATCCGACACAATTATTTGGGGATTGGTTTCCGTGGATGTACAAATTCCTGTGTCTGTCCTTGAGAACTGTGCAGGGTCTTCAGTCTCTTTTTCTGTTTTTTGTGATGGGTAGTGCTCCGCAAATGTTTTTGTATTTGTTATTACTGATTTTAGAACGTCCCTAAGGACACCACGACTATCTAAATTTCTTAATTGTACAGCACAGGTCTTCGAGTGAGCTACGCTGCTATTAATTTCTCGAACCGCTGTGTCAATATCATAAGGTAACCAAATTTTATCCAGTTCTGATATCTCATCACACACACTTATTAGCTCTTCTTGAAAATGGTTAGAACCTGAACCATCATCCCAGAAAGGCTGCCTCTGTGTCATCTTCTACATCCTTTCGTTACATTGGTGTGATATATCTTCGATCAGGTCAGCACAGTTTTCTTTCTTAGGAAGTCTTCTCAATTAAAGTAGCTGAAAAGAAGGCGATATAATAAATAAACTGAGTTCAGAGAATGAGATGCGTTTTTATGTGGGTTTCATCTCTGCTCTCCTTTCTATCATTATCGAAGAATCAAAGACTTCAAAAGTGTCATACTGCTTCAGAAACGGACTGTTCTCGTCTTCTGAAAACATGGTCGATGTTATTGAGAAGCACAGCTAGCTAACAGCTCATTGGCCAAGGAGAAACGCGCCATAATTTCAAGTGTATAGATCTAAGAAATTTACGAGACCTAATCCCACTGGCTTTCTTCAAACAATATGCTTTCAACTTGCATTTTCACATCCGTATTTTCACATTTCTGACTGAATTTGTCTTCCAGGACAACGGAGAAGATATAAGGCAGTGTTTAATGTGAACTTTTTGTATTATGAGCGTCACAACTGAATTATGTTTGATTCTTTGGGCTCACCTTTGTTCGGCCTGCCTCAAGTCTAGAGAGGAATCATACCTTTTTCTAGTAAGACGCAAATAAGTTTTTCCGGGAGGACTTCCGTAACGAGCGACCACTATTAAATCTAGATTATATTCAATGGCTTCCAAAATCCTGATGGGAGACCGAAAGCCACTGTTATACCATCTGTTCATGACAAAATTACGGTAGTCCCTTTCCGGGAGGACTTCCGTAACGAGCGACCACTATTAAATCTAGATTATATTCAATGGCTTCCAAAATCCTGATGGGAGACCGAAAGCCACTGTTATACCATCTGTTCATGACAAAATTACGGTAGTCCCTTTCCGGGAGGACTTCCGTAACGAGCGACCACTATTAAATCTAGATT